TAATTTGGTGCCCTGACTTTCTGTAGGCAAAGCATACTCCTTACTTTTAGGCTTCTCTAATGTCCATTAGAACAGATTGATTGTGAATTACAGGCAGATTGATCTAAGGGTTTAGAACTGTTAGAGCTAGACACATGTGTAGACATTCTACACAGACTTGACACATCCAAGCTGTAGCTTGGTTGAAGGAGATGGTGCATGTCTTCCACTCAGTGTAGGTGACTAGTTCTAGCATCATTCTGAGAATCTTATTGACCAGTTCCAGGTGAAGAGCTTTTTCAAGCATTCTGATAAGGACATTATCAAACCCAAGTATGAATCCTGCCTTCTAGGCCAGGATATCAAACTCCTGAAAGAAGGTATTGGTGGAATGTTTGCCCTGTTACAGAGACACAAGCTTGTTCTACACATTGTGCTTCTCATTCAGATCAATGAAGGAAGTACAGAGCTGCCTTATGAATTCTGAGTACAACTTATTGTTCTGAAGTCAGATCAGGCTTCTGATCTGATGACCTTTGATCCAGTTCTGGGCCCAGGTGGCTGTGTTGCCTTCCTTTATGAATGAGAGGACAAATAGGATGTGATTGAGATCTGAGGATAGATCAGTCAAAGCAGTAGCCACATATAGTTTGACTTAGTGCTAGAAGTCCTCAAAGTGCTACTCATTAAAGTCTAAAGGGCAGGCTATATGCACTTTCTTTCTAGAACAGGTTGTGACTTCTGGAACAATCAGAACAGGTTCTGAAGGGGCTAGGGGCATGTAGTTAGCAAAGGCCTCTTAGATAGAGGTCTGTACATATTAAGCTAATTCTGCTTGTAACTACTGATCTGGCAGGACAGTAGGGGTGGCAGTCAGTGTAGTAGGGTCCATGTTTACACTACAAAGGAATCAACACTAAACTAAAAGGGGTAATGAATAGAAGAAGGGTGGCAAAAGTTTAAAAGGGTTTAGAAAGTTTAAAATTTAAAAATGTAAAAGGGTCAGGACAAAGGAAAGAGATTGACACAACAGTATGTACTAATGCCCAAAATGTAGGAGAGTTGTAGGGTGGTAATAGGGAGTCTTAATCTGATGTCAGTAACAGTATAGAGGGGACCTGAAGGCTCAGTGAGGGGACCCAGGCTACAACTATCCTACACAATAGAAATACAGAATGCAAGTACTAGAACATAGTTGGAACTTGCAGAACAGGCAGAGAGAGAGAGTGAGACAAGAGTAGGGTATATAGAGTGAGCCTAAGAGTACAGGACTACCTGGAGTAGACAAGATCAAGACTACAGGACCAGTCTGATCTTGTATGCCTATATATACTAAACTACACAAGAGCACTCAGGGAGTATGAGCTACTAAGAATGATGAGCCACAAAGAATGAAAGAAAGGAATGTCAAAGATAAAGGTACAAAGAATGAAGGGATGGATAAAGGGTAAGAGACTATAGAATGATACAAAGAATGAAGGGGTGGTCAAAGGAATGGAATAATAAAGTAAGGAAGGGTAGTAGTAAGAGTCAGCATGTATATAGTTCATAGACAGTACCCTAGAGGGACAGAAGTCCTGAGTTCCAGTACAGAAGGGTGCAGAACCCTTGGAACTGAAGGTATGAGAGCAGAGAACCATAACACTGACACACTTCCTGATCCATTAGTACTCTCTCCAGCTGTGTTGTGTTCCTATTGCCTACACTTTAGACAAATAGACTAGGGACTTATTCCACACCTTACAGCTCTATTAACAGTAATGGCCTGTGCTCCATCCACTTGTTCCACAAACATACCATCTGCTTCTCTACTTCTAGCAACTTGCCAAATTGTACAAGAAAAGCTCTTTCCTCCTGCAAGTAGCTGAGGCTCTGATTAGCAAGCTTCTAGCACACTTGTTTCATGACCAGGATTACAAACTTGGTATTGTATATTGACAAAGAGGTCCTTGGTATTAGTAACTGTTTCTTTAGATTTGTAAATTAGCATGTATGTAAGTTCTTCCTGTACTACTGTGGATCACTCTTTTCATAATCACAGAAATGATTTTAGGATCAACTGTTTATTATATCTAGAACCAGAGACCTGAAACAAGTTATTTGTCTGATTCCTTTGTTCCCATTCTACAGATTAGCCTGATTGATTTGCTGATTAGAAACACATATTTAATTATTTTATACTACTATAGTCAATTCAAATATAATAGAAACCTTACATTGTATGTTAGATTCAAATTACATCTCATTATCAAGTATGTTAGTAACTTACCATTTTACTATAAGCAGCCTAATTCCAGTACTAGTCAAGCAACAATGTCCTTTAGAATAAGGAACCTCTTTAAGAGGCTGTTATGAAGAGGGATGGATATTGTAGTGCTAGTACTCTGTACTGTAGTATAATTTACAGATACACCTGTAGTGTATACACTTACACACTGTATTGTAAGAGAAAATTTTAGCTGAAAATACAGGTGTATATTTACACACATATGTGTATACTATAAGTAAAAAATTTCCATATACACTGTATACAAGTATACAGTATTACTAAGCATATTCTCTAATTAAATACTAAGTTTGAGTTTCTAAACCTCATTTACTTTACTTATTTATATACTAAATCATTTTAATACTATATAACAACCTTGTTTAACTTAAAAAGTACTAGTATGAGTACTACAGTTAGTATGGTTACTACAGTACATCATATGAAGGTTTAGAGCTGTCACATGATATTAACTCACAACACTCAACTGTCTTATTTCTGTGTGTAAACAGTACTATAATACATTTTCTTAGCTCAGTAATATCAAGCATTTGTTTTGAAAGAATGATAGTGTACTTTTATAAGCTATTTTAATGTAAAGTATCTTGTTATATTTGGCACAGTATATACACTGTATACAGAAGTAGCATATTGTATATGGGTCCTGCTGACCCAGTTTACACCTGTAATTATACATGCATATACATATATGTGGGAAATTTTACATGTGTAAGTGTATATGCTACACACAGAGTACTACATAGTACTGTAGAACTTGTGACACATTTAGGGTACTGACTGAGGTAAGATATTGTACTACATATATAGTAAGGTTGGGAAAGTATAAACTTGACCAACTGTGATGCAAGATGACTAACCTAATTTGGACACAAACAACAGTAACATTATTCACTCTTCCACACAACCAATATTTAAATTCTAAAAACATAGAAAGATTCAGATTGATCTGGGCTACAAATGTATGTTTTTAAAATTAAAAAATATTAAATTTTGGGTGACTTATTTCACTAAGGAAAAATTTATTTTTTCTACCTCAGAATGCTATAAAAAGCATTTTGGTGAAGTTTTGAATTTTTTTCTCTCAATTTTTGCTGCTTCAGTTAAAATAATATTATATAATTACATCTATATATAGTGCATTACTAATATTACTAATATAATTTGGTAAGCAATTTCGGCTATCTTGGCACTTTCTCACACTATAAATATTCAAGATATAGTCAACCTTTTTTAAAGTACTAAAAACATACATTATGAATCTAACTACATGCACAAGACAAATAAATGAGTCAAATGTTAGACTACAGACTCTCAACATTCCAAAAAGTAATAAATTTCTTGGATATAAAAAAAAGTTATAAAGTCTTCATGTTGATTTTTGCTGCTAGGGTCCTTCCAAAAGAAGAAAGTGGCTGTGCTGTGACTACTGTGACAGGTTGGTCAAGTTTATGTTTTCCCAACCTTAGCAGCTGGTAAGGTAGAGGCACAATAAACTTGACAAGCTGTGTGACACACATGACTTAACCCTACTTACCTTATGTAGACTCAACATTGCTAACAGAACTAGTCCTACAGTAACCCCCAAATGACACTTTTTTTTCCACAGAATGATAGATAATAGTGTTATCTATCATTCTGTGGACCAGATTTTTTATTTTCTCAAAACTGACTGAGTAGATACAAAAATACTTTTTTTTGTACTAAACACTGTATTCTGTATTTTTATTGAGTTTAACGAAATTTCATTTTTTTGACTTGCACATTTTGGCCAGCTTCAAAAAGGAAATTAATGACTAATATTAATGACTAATATTCCATATATAGTAATATAATAATATTAGTCAGCAATCACACTTGCATATGTACTATCAATACAAACTAGACTTAAAGCTCCTAAACTACAGCTATGCCACCACAATCAAAGAAGAAACAGAGTTGGATAAAGAACTTACAGAAGAGAAAAAGCAATGTAAGTAGTTATTCTTTATCTTTCTAGGTATACACTCACTATTTTTGGGTTAGGATGTGATTGACGTCATTTCAAGTTCAGACGAGTCGACTGTTCTTACAGACATTGATGATAGTCAATCAGAGTCAAGCATAGGGTCATATGATAGTGATGAGAGTGCTGACCTTGACCAGAGCAATGTTCTTGCTGAATCTGAGGCAAGAACATTCCTTCAAGTGCTTTCTGAAGGCTATAAGCAGTGGTCGTCCTCGTTACAAGACCAAGCCCGTCCATCTACATACAAGAAGGTTAGGCTTACATCCCAGAAACCAGCACGTACAATTCGAAACCAGCAATTGAAAGCTAGGAGGCAGGAGGAGAGACTTTGTGGCCAAGGGTTTGCAGACATTCGACAATTTTTTTCTCAACAACCACCCAACCTACAGCCACCAACTATCCCAGCACCCACCATCAAGAATGCAATTCTTGATCAATTGTGTAGTATGCACACAAAACAGCATATACATCAATTTAATCAAGAGGAGAACTCTGATGAGGAGGCAGAGATAGCGAATGGGCAGGAAAGAGGTGCAAGTGCTGATCGCAACTCACCAATCCCAGAAGGAACGATGCCTCTTTCACAGAGGAAACGAAAAGCGTCTGGACAAGGCTTAGAGCAATATCCTTTGATGCAAGTCAGGCAGACTGGTAAGTGTAGAAATAAGTGCAATAATCGTAGTGCTCACCCATGCTGCAGCTGCAATCGTCGACAACACACCATTCCATTCCTGCCGCCTCTACATTGGCAGCATTACTCGCGAGATCAACGAGACGAATCTAGCGCGATTCCTTAACACTTTAGTAATGGGCATAGATGGAGACAGACAGACACGCACCAGCGATGATCCTGTCCTCGCTGTACAGTGTAATTACGAAGAAGGGTATGCTATTGTAGATGTACGCACCTGTTCTTCTTCATTCACTGCCTCCCAAAGCTAATCTGCACTCACCAAATAGTTCTGTAGTGCAGAGGATGCAACAGCAGCCATGGCATTTGATGGAATTACATTCCTCAACGGGCCTTTGAGGATCCGACGACTGATGGACTATGGAGGCGTGGATTCACCTGCTCCTTCCAACGTTCACGTCCCTGGTGTCGTTTCCACAAATGTTGCAGACCATGCCAATAAAGTGCCCATTAGAGATCTGCCAATGTATCTAAATGAGTGGAATATTACGCACCATGGGTCTGAGACATCCACTGATCCATACGAGCAATTCCCCGAGATTCCAAAGCCTATCCTTCCTGCCGGCAATCTGTCTAACTCGAACGCACGCACCTTACTAATGCTTGATATTGGGCTGGCAGACGACTCAGTGGACGACCAGGAATACGAAGATATTCGAAAGGAGTGTACCAACCTTGGCGCGGTGGAGGATCTGCGTATTCCACAACCTGTGGAGAAAGGCGTCCGATGTGTATACGTGAAGTTCTACGATCCACAAACGGCTACAGCTGCCTTGAAGAGTTTTGCAGGGCAATCATTTGCTGGTCATTCCATTATCGCTACACTCTTGGATGGCACTGTGGATGATGGGCACGATAACAAGGGGGATGCCACGTCAATAACTTCTCACGTCGATGCAGGCATCCACAGCCTTCCCACGCGTGATGTGACTGTACAGAGACTTGATGGTGCACCCGAGGAGGAGGAGGAGGAGGAGGAGGAGGAGGAGGAAGAGGAGGAAGAGGAAGAGGATATGGAGGTCACTCATGCACAATCCAACCCGAATGTCGTACAGAACACCACACTACTTCAACCTATGATTCAACAGATCACCGAATACAATCAGACTGAGTCAAAATACCGTGCACCCAATAAGAACGACCACTCACTGTGTTATGCGAAGAAGCAGTTGCTGGCTATATCAAAAGATGTGAGCCTTGACGTCTTTTTCCGAGGCCGTATTGCTGCAATGATAGTCTTTTTGGGTCTGTACATTGACGATGAAGATCTTGGATGGGTTGAAGCATCAGTCAAAGCCTCCATGGTGATTGCAAATCGTGGAACTCACCTGGCTCGTCTGCTCCGAAAGTGGGTCCGTGACTTTCTTGAAGATGATCAAGTCTTGCCTGTCAATCTATACGGCAACTGGAAAAAGTCTATCATTCATGATGAGGATTTTACAACTGAGATTCATCTTCACTTACAAAGTCTAAACAAAAAGTACCTGGGCCCTAATGATGTTCTTGCATATCTCAATCAACCAACCATTTTGAACCGACTTGGAAGGACTCGGCCAATTAAAATTCGAACTGCACGAAAGTGGATGAAAGCGATGGGCTACTGTTGAGAGGAAGAACTTAAGGGGGGCACGCATAGACAAGGGGTGAGGTGACGATTGAC